GATTTAGACAAATATTTTATCAGACCTGATGCTGCTTTAATATTAAATAATTTGATTAAAGTTTTATCAGACAACCCAACTATGGAAATTGAGTTAAGTTCACATACCGATTGTCGTGCAACTGTAAAATACAATGCTTCGTTGTCTGCTAAACGGGCTGAGGCTGCTGTACAATATATTGCATCAAGAGGTGTTTCACAAATGAGAATGGTAGCGGCTGGATACGGAGAGTCTCGTTTGGTAAACAAATGTGCTTGCGAAGGATCACAAGTAGTGCCTTGTACTGAAGAGCAACATCAAGAGAACAGACGTACAGAGTTTAAGATTTTGAAATTCTAATTTGTAAAAATAAATTTCGAGAAGGGAGTGGCTTTGCTGCTCCCTTTTTTATTTTTAGCCAATGATTAATCGAAGAGTAACAATTACAGGGAAAGTACAAGGTGTGAGTTTTCGTAAGGCAACATTTGAAATGGCTGTCCGTTTAGGCGTTTTCGGCTATGTGAAAAATGTTGATCAGGACAAAGTGTTTGTAGAGGCAGAAGGGAATGCCGATGCGGTATTCAAATTGATTGATTTCTGTCATCACGGGCCGGAAAATGCGGAGGTAGAGCATGTTAGTGTTTTGATGGGCGATATAATAAATTATTCTTCGTTTGATATCTTATATGCTTGATGAGGGTTGTAATTGGTCGATACGTTTAAATCATTAGTTTTAAAGAAAAATAGCGAATGAATTCTGCTACAATTTTAGTTACTGGTGCTTGTGGACAAATTGGGAGTGAGTTAGTGATGGCGCTAAGAGCAAGAGGTGATAATGTGATTGCTACAGACTTGAAAGTGCCTTCAGGAGAGCTGTTAGAGAGTGGAGAATTTCAGCGATTAGATGTACTGAACAAAAATAGTTTAGCTGCTTTGGTTTCAAAATATAAAGTAAACCAGATTTATCATTTAGCAGCATTGCTTTCAGCAACAGGTGAACAGAATCCTGAATTGGCGTGGCGTGTGAATATGAAAGGACTTCGTAATATCCTTGATTGCTCTGTAGAATTAGGCGTAAAGCGGCTGTTTTTTCCGAGTACAATTGCTGTGTTCGGACCAACATCTCCTAAGCTCAATACACCTCAACATTGTGTGATGGAACCCAATACGATTTATGGGATAAGTAAGCAAGCCGGAGAGCGTTGGTGTGATTATTATTATCAAAAAAAAGGTCTGGATGTGCGTTCGTTACGTTACCCAGGATTAATTAGTTATAAGACAAAAGCAGGTGGAGGAACAACCGATTATGCCGTTGAGATTTTCTTTGAGGCATTAAAACACAAAAAGTACAATTGTTTTCTTTCCGAAAACACAGTGTTGCCCATGATGTATATGCCTGATGCAATACGCGGAACTATTGAACTTATGGATGCTCCTGATAGTAATTTAAGTATACGAAGTGCATATAATTTTTCAGCATTTAGTTTTTCTCCGCAAGATCTGGCGAAGTGTATAACTGCTGAAATTCCGGATTTTTTGATACAGTACACTCCCGATTTTCGACAAGCCATTGCAGATAGCTGGCCGGCAAGTATTGACGATTCCTTCGCTCAAAAAGACTGGGCTTGGAAGCCTGCGTTTACACTCGAGGAAATGACTAAGGACATGCTGTCAAATATTGTGCTGAGAGATGAAATAGTGATTTAACAATGGAAAGTAGATTAATTCAAAAGTTTTCACCGATCAAACAAGGGGTTGTTAGTCTACTCTTTGGTGTTATAATGATTCTTTTAAGCAGGATGTGGAGTAATGACTCTATGTATCCCTTTCTTTTTGCTTTTGTTGCCATTGTAGGGTATTGTATTACCAATGCATTTTTTTCGTTATTCAACAATTCCTTTGCACGCTATGTATGGCCATCTTGGGGCATATTTGCTTTATTAACAGCTATGTTGCTTTTGTTTGCACGATATGCTTCAGGTTCTAGTATTCAGGAACATCGAGAGTTTATTCAGATGTTGTATAGTGTTGTTGTTTTTTATGTAGTGTTTAGTTTGATGATGCGGCTCATGCGAATGCTTTGGCAATATGCTGAAGCTGATCAGAGCTGAAAATATATCCAATAGAATTGTGTTCTATTTCCCTAATTTGGTATAATATTGAGCTTAGTTTAAATGAATCGTATGAGCGAAACGGAAATTGAAAGCAGAAGAAAGACAGGTGAAATGTTTACGGCTTCTTTTTTAAAAAAGGCATCACCGTTATATCAGTTTTTGTTTTCACTTGGATTTAGTTTGCTAGTGATGTTTTTAGCAAAAGGCATTTGGCATTCCGATGAGATGATTAAATATGGTGGCTCATTTGGTGTTGTGTTTTTTGTAATGTTTAATCCATGGCTTTCTTTGTTGCATGATGATAATAAAAAATATTTCATTCAATCGTTATTTTTCTATGCCATTATTGCTGTTGTGTTGTATGGTTTAATCTATTTATGGACAGGTATTTCTTTCTCGAATTCAATGGAAGTGAGTATAACGCTTATCACTACAACTTTCTACATGGTTGTGGCTTTTGGTATGATGACAGCCTTGAAGTATTTGTTTATCGATCAGAGTGGGGGAGGACTGTAATGTGAAAATGTTTTAAAAAATCATCGTTCAAAAATTCGGATTAAACTAAGGGCTTATACTCTTGTCATAACTACAAAACAAGAGATATGAAAACAACATTTTTTATTTTGTCTTTTGTCTTCATTTTGATGACAATGACAACAGAAGCAAAACCTAACGGCAGATATTATCGCCATCATCGTCCTGTTGTAGTATTCGCACAGCCCGCACCACCTGTATATTACAAGCCTGTACCACCACCGGTTTGTCATTATGCCCCACCACCACCAGTAGTTGTGTATAGGCCGGCACCATGCTATCGCAATCAGTATCGTCACAATGATTATCATCGTGGTGGACACGAAGGCAGAGGCAATTCCGGACATCACCGATAGTTTATAGAAAGATGAGTTTTGGGTTATCAGCGTGTCGCAATGAATTGCGGCACGCTTTTTTTATGTCTAAGCAGTAAGAATCTTTTAGTTTAGCTATTCTCAAAAGCAGTATGCGCAAACCTTGGTTTATAACTTTGAAATTTTTGCCCTATTCAGGTATGGCCATTTTCCCGTTCGTGTTGATAAAGGATGCCGATTTAAAATGGAGTAAAACGCTCGTTTATCATGAACGAATTCATTTAATGCAGCAGCTAGAATTGCTGATAATACCTTTTTATTTATTCTATGGGTTCAATTACTTCGTCAATATCGTTCGTTTCCGTAATCACGATCGCGCTTACCGCGAAATTGTTTTTGAGCGAGAAGCCTATCAAAACGAGGCGGAAATAAATTATCTCCGTAGAAGACCATTTTGGGCGTTTTTGCGTTATCTTTAAAAAAATGCATTCTATGAAATATATAACTATAATGTTGCTCATTACATTTTCTGCTTGTAAACTCAATCAAAGCAAAACAATCGAGGAGGATTCTCCGAACAAGAAAGTGCATGTAACTTTATCGGCTACTAAAACAATGGTTGGAGAACCATGGGAATGCCAATTAAAGGTAAAAGCCTATTCGTTTGAAGAAGGTTTACTGAAGTTCGAGATTAGTGCCGATGAGCTGAATAGCGAGAATGTACGCTTCAATTGGGATTCGAATGGAAATTGTAAAATAGAAATAATTCAACGCGATAAGGATATTCGAACATTTCAACTCATTGCCAATGAACAAGAATTACAATTGGCAGAGGTTAGTAATTAGTTCATTGGTTTTTTTTGCCTAAAGTTTGAATAATTTAAAAAAGTACTATATATTGTTTTAATTACTATCTTTGATACTTAATTTTTTAATTTCAACAAAATGAATCTTTACATTGGAAATCTTAACTACGCAGTTAAGGAACAAGAACTACAAGAGCTTTTCCAACAAGTTGGCGAAGTGTCTTCAGTGAAAATTATTACTGACAAGTTTACAGGACGTAGCCGTGGCTTCGCTTTTGTAGAAATGCCAAACGATGCAGAAGCAAAAGCAGCTATTGAATCATTGAATGGTCGCTCTTTGAAAGAAAGAGAATTATCTGTTACTGAAGCTCAACCTCGTACAGAAGGAGGAGGTAACCGTGGTGGTGGATTTAACCGCGACCGTGGAAACGGTGGTGACAGAGGAGGAAATGGTGGATATAACAAACGTTATTAATAACTATACTGAATCTTATAAGAAACCTGCTTTATAGCGGGTTTTTTTATTCCCTAAACCCAATTTAACTTTGAATGCGAAAAATTAAGTACTCTTTACATTGTTTTTTTCTGGCTGTTTTTGTTTTTTCAGCCCAACTACTAATGGCGCAAACAAACTTCACTATAAGTGGAAGTATAACTGATGCAGGCAACGGGGAGGAGTTGATTGGTACTTCTGTAACCGTGAAAGGTAGTGCCGGAATAGGAACCGTTGCCAATGGGTATGGATTCTATTCGCTTACACTTCCCAAAGGAAACTATATAATTATCTATCACTACCTTGGATTTAGTGATATAGAAAAAGAGATTAAACTAGAGTCGAACCAACAAATCAATATAAAACTTCAACAAACACAGCGCGAGTTGAAGCAAGTAGAAATTTCGGCACATAAAAACGACAACCTAAAAAAGGCCGAAATGGGCGTTTCTAGACTTGATATGAAAGAGTTGGAACGAATCCCTGTTTTTTTTGGGGAACGCGATATTCTTAAATCTATTCAGCTGTTACCGGGGGTAAAATCTGCCGGTGAAGGGAATTCAGGCTTTAATGTACGTGGTGGTGGAACAGATCAGAATCTTATTCTTTTGGATGAAGCTCCCGTGTATAACGCCTCCCATCTTTTAGGCTTTTTCTCAACATTCAATTCCGATGCAGTTAAAGATGTTACACTTTATAAAGGCAACAGTCCTGCAGAATTTGGCGGAAGATTATCCAGTACGCTCGATATTAAAATGAAAGAAGGGAATGATAAAAAGTATGTGATTAGTGCCGGTATAGGTATTGTTTCATCGCGACTATGTATCGAAGGCCCTATTGTGAAAGAAAAGGGTTCGTTTATTATTACAGGAAGAAGAACATATGCAGATGCATTTTTACCCCTCATCCCTGCACGAAATGGGAATACCAGCTTTAAAAACAGTACCCTTTATTTTTATGATATAAATGCAAAAGCCAATTATCGCATCGGGAAAAAAGATAGAATTTTTCTATCGGGTTACTTTGGGCGCGATAAATTCGGTATTAAAAATCAAACAAGTTTCAGTATCGATTACGGTAACCTANTTCCACTTGGGAATGTAACCGCATTGCCGGTATAGAAAACAAAGGTGGCGGAAAGTGATAAGCGCGGAAGCACTTGATATAAAAGCACTACCGATAAGTCGTGCGTTCGATCTTGCTTTGCAGGATAGTATTTTCCATCATTGATTTCTTTGAAAGTACGCTCGGTACGCGAAAAGGTATAACTAATCCACCCGGTGAATTTCCCGGTTTTCTTTTTCAGGAAAAACTCTGCACCATAGGCTCTTCCGGTGCCGTAAATCAACTGACTTTCCACTAATTCGTTTGCCCGTAAAACGGCTCCGTTTTTGTAATCGATTTGATTCCACAAATGCTTGTAATAACCTTCAATACTGAACTCAAAACGATTTTTCCAGAAGTTCAAATAATAGCCTAATGATACTTGATCGGCAATTTCGGGCTTCACATTATTGCTACTTAAAATCCACTGATCGGTAGGCGATCCAATTAAGCTGTTTGACAATTGATGTACGTTTTGTGTGTTTCGCGCGTAAGCGAATTTAATAGAATGATCGGGTAGAAAATTATAGCTCAAGGTGAAGCGCGGTTCCCAGTTTACATGGGTTTTCCCAATTTTACCTAACTTCATATAGGTTGAATCGGTTGCCACACCTTCCTTGTTATAGGTATAAAAAGTACTTGGCCCGGTAGAAGAAAATGTAGACAATCGAATTCCGGTACTCACTTGCAATTTATTGTTTGGCGTCCATTCGTGTTGAACGTAAACACCATTTTCCCAGCCGTATTTTTTAGTGAGTGTAAGTCGGTTAGCGCGTGAAGTATCGTTAGACACCACATTTCCCGGCTGAATGGTATGAAATGTAGAAAGCAATCCAAACTTGAACGCATTTTTCGCATTCGCGTAATAAGAGAAGTCTTGTTTGAAATTGTAATCGAAAATCACAGAACGTATTTTCAAATCAGTAAGTGCACTATTGATTTCAACAGTATAATCAAAATCATTTACAATAAACGATGTGTTCGAAAACAACTTGCTCGAAAAAATATGATTCCAGCGCAATGTACCGGTTAGGTTACCGTAATCGATACTGAAACTTGTTTGATTTTTAATACCGAATTTATCGCGCCCAAAGTAACCCGATAGAAAAATTCTATCTTTTTTCCCGATGCGATAATTGGCTTTTGCATTTATATCATAAAAATAAAGGGTACTGTTTTTAAAGCTGGTATTCCCATTTCGTGCAGGGATGAGGGGTAAAAATGCATCTGCATATGTTCTTCTTCCTGTAATAATAAACGAACCCTTTTCTTTCACAATAGGGCCTTCGATACATAGTCGCGATGAAACAATACCTATACCGGCACTAATCAC